TACTGGGACACATCCCAAATGCCCAGCCCAACCTGCCACATCAAGGCTGGAGGTCGCTTTAATTTACTGTTCCACCTTCTCCCTCTGACAAAGGGAATGGATGGCTGGTATTAATCCCCCCAGGCACCCACAGTGGGTTTGGGAACCAGCCCTCTGCATTCTTCTCACCAGCTGAGCATGTTGAGGAGGAATCAAAAAGGCCTTAAGAGCCACTGGGCCTAGAAAAATTCCCCGTCAATCCATCACCTGCCTCCTCCACAGAAGGGTCTGCAGTTTCAGGGGCAGGTGGGGAGAGGGTTGTGAGGGAGTGAGTGGAATTAAGAGTTATGTGTATCTGTTAGTGAGTCTGTGTTTGTGTGTGTCTGCTTGCGTGTATCCCCACGTGTGTGTGTGTGCGTGTGCGTGTGTGTGTGTGTGTGTGTGTGTGTTTTTTTTTTGAGACAGGACCAGTAACAGAAGAGCCGGCGAGAGGCCGTGGGAGACTGGGAACTTATTTATAAAAGCTCTTCTGCCCTAAAGCAAGTCAAACTCCCCGCTGAGGAATTGCTTTTTCTTCCTCCCTTTTGAGTCTTGTGTGCTGAACTGACCTCTCCCCCGGCAGAGGTCAGCACTCTGCTCGCCCTGTGAGCACTCGGCCTTCTGGGGCTTGGTCGCCTTAGAAGCCCAAAGAAGAGAGAATTCTTCAGCTTTAATTTCTGAGAGAAAAGCTGTTGTAAATCTCGTGAAAAAGCTGTGTTTTTTCTGTTTTTTTTTTTTTTTTTTTTTTTTTTTTTTTTTTTTTTTTTTTTTTTTTTTTTTTTTAAAAAAATATATACGTTATGGTCTTTTGGGAACCGTGGAGAAAACAAAAGGCAAACATGAAACTATACTAGAATCCCCTCCCACAGCCTGCTTCACCCACTAAAATAAATCAGGCTGGGTAATGAATGAGGTTTTAAGAAATGTAACCGAACTTAAAATACAAGGTCAGCATCTCATCCTAGGTAATCCTTTGGAGGATGAGAAATTCTCCTGATTTTCCCACAGGGTTATTTCAGATGTGCTTTCTGAGCCAAACTATTTTAAAAGCATTCACTCTTCTACTGCTCTGCCAAATGTGAACTTGAGATTCTCATGCACTTTTCGAGAGCTTATTAATGATATTAATGATCATGGATCAAAGGCAAACCCCAGACAATTATTTAGGTGCTTTAAAAACTCATCTTCTGTACGAGGGTAACAACTTCTCAGGGCTGCCAAAGACGAAGCTGTGCCGGGTCTAAAGCAGCATTACTGTCGGGCCTTAAGGAGAACACAAAACACGTCTCTTTGTATAATTAAAATGTATGCTTATTGACACCTTATCACCAAAGCCTTTTCCATTTGTAAAGCAGGTACACTTCTGATTTTCAGAAAGCCCCTCTCTTAAAGGATCCTCAGTTCTTGGCAGACCCTGCCTCTTTTAACATCTAGCATTTAAACACACATACCCTATGTTTTTAAACAATAGTTTCCAACTATGGCTTCTCACAAGAATCATTATTTGAGGATCTTTTCAAACTGTCAACACTCAGTCCATATCTCAAGGATTCTGATTTAACTAGAAGCTACCCAGGTAATTCCAATGTGTGGCCAGTATCCAAAACCGGTTTTCAAACAGGTGGAGAAATTAACACATTGGAGTGATCTGTTTACCTCAAGATTCTACAGGGCCAAGGATGGCACTTAAAATATTAGAGATAATTTTATTTGACAAATGAAGAAATTGAGGCCTGGGACCTAAGTGGCTTGTCCCAAAACACACAAGCAGCTGCCTGGACGCAGGGCTTGCTGCGTGCAGCGCCATGCCATCGTTTAGTCTCCAGATCCCCAGTCCAGGTCCGGGGCATCTTTCCTATGGGCTAGGCCATATGGCACGCCGCCCTGACCAAAACATGAAGAAGAAATGGGTTTTGCTTCATCAATTGCAGTAGTTGGTTCTCGGCATTTCACGCAGTTACTCAAATGTATTATTCCAACCTGACATTGAAATGCTTCTGAAAAATTATGTACAGGACCTGAGGGAAAATACATTTATAAGCAACTAGACAGGCTTGGGATTCTGTCATGAACGGTGGTGTAGAGAAAGATTCAGCACAGGATTACAGTCAGTGCTGAATAAGGACTAGATCTGCTTAGAAAATGGAAATGAATCCACTTGGGAAACGTTAAGATTCTCTGGAAAGGAGTCAAGGTCGCATTCTTTAACCCCTCACAAGAGGGGTCTATCTTAGCTCACAATTGGGAGCAGAAGTGGGAACATAACTGCATAGTAAAGACCACCCCAAAACTTTACAGGCCAATTTAATCATAACGTCCCACACAGGGTTTTTCAAACCTAAATCTTTAGGACCAATGATTCAAATGCAGAGCTTCTTTGAATATTTTAACTCAGTATTCAAACCCTCAGAATTGCTTCAAGGAGAAAAAGTCTCTTAACAAATAGAATATAATTTTAAATAGCATGTTCGGAAAAATAGATGTATATTCCTTAGGGTTAATTCACTTGTTTTGAAGAAAAGTGATACACGCTAATTTTTAAAAGTTTTACTTTTTATTCATAAAACAGGTTCACTTCCACTATATACTATTTTCATCCCCTAGGCATGCACAACTATTTAAATAATTTAAACAAATGAGAGGACAAGGCCAACTGGAAAAGGAGCTCTCCTGGTGATTACTGTAGTGTTTGGCTTTTTAACTTGATAGAAGTAAGTTATTCTAGGGATCTGTCAAACCCACACCTATAGTTGCCTGATCAGATGCTTTGGGGTTGAATGTGTGGTTTTATTGGGTTTTGTTTAATTAAAGAATTATGATTTTTGTTAAGTAACTATAATGACAATTATAAGGTAACACATGATGATATGCTGCATAATAAAACTTATTTGAATGTAATTTGAAGCCTAGTTCTGAGTAGTTCTCGACAATTAAAGGCAATAATTTCACTACTCAAGTCCCCTGTTATGCTATACAGTGACATATATTATTTGTTCCTTGTCTGGCTAAATAAAGAAAGAAACCAAATTAGAGGGAGTTCTGCAGACTTCTGAGAATCTAATTATATCATTAAATTCTCATACCAATCATATGTAAGGTTAGACTCCTGTCTTGAGTAATTAGCTGAATTAACTTCATTTTACAATGCTTAATTTATTTTGTACTAAGGAAGGCTTTAAACCATTTAACAGAATCAGCTTAATTTTGATTTTTTACTTGCTCCAACGTGTTTCAATTCATTAATGTTTCAGTAACAAGGAATGAGCTCTCTTGGTTTGTCTTAATAAACCAAGCATGGACATTTCCTCAGAAGAGAAAAAAAGGGAACTGAAAATGACTTCCATATTCAAGTCATAGCACGCTGAATAGAGAACTTTTGGCTCTTAGGAAAGCCATTTGTTACCTCAAAAGGAAGGCCACTCACTAGAATTTGGTAGAAACATTACAGTGGGGCCTGCCAAGAAGGAACTCAAGGAAACTGAGAAGAGGCAACACTGTGATCCCAGCCACTCTCTTGGGCACAGAAGTTTCCTTCTCTAAGTGCTCTGCCCTCACCAGGCTCTTTCTGAAATCAAAGGCCACTGATATGCACAACAATTTATGCTAAAATCCAAACAGGACATCAAAAGCAAACAATTAACTGTGATTCCATTGTTGTCCCCAAGATATCCCATTCACAGACAAGTTACATTCTCCATAACGCAAAATAGAGGGTTTTTGTGAAGGTTGCTTTTTATAAAAATGAAATACATTTTCCTACTTCTTTCATATTAAAATGAGTGAACAAAAAAGCTGCAGCACTTACTCCTCTCCCTAAACTTTGCTCCTTTGTGTTTAGCAATTTATATGCATATCTGGATGACAATTAACCTCCAGTGGCAAAGAAAAGAAAAATGTGTAAGAAAAATCACACTGACTGTTGTCAGACATTTCTTACAGACATAAAATAATCTAACAAAGCAAAACCCAACACCAACCTCTCAAAAAGTTGTTTGCAAGCACATCAAGATAACTTAGAAGCCACGACACTGAGAAAGTTAGGGTGTTTAAAGTTATAACATTAATCAAACAGGGTCCACATTTCTTCCAAGCATCAGAGTTACAAGGACTTGAGTATGCATTTAATTTGGGGTTTTAAGTAAGTGATTGAAGAACTTATTCTTTTCAACCAAGAACAGATAGCATCTCAGGTTTTCAGATGCTGAATTTACTAAGATTATTAAAAATATCAAAACACATGCCACTCCCACAGTAGAGAACTCTTCATTTCCCACCTAATAAGCAACAAAAAGTCCTAGTGGCCATTTTCCCCTTTGCACTTCCAAATATCCAAAGAATCACACAACCACTCAAGTAACAAGAGATCCAGGGGTGTTTCAGACACGTGGAAGGAAAATGCTTAAAGGCAAAATTCCTCAAACAAATGCCATAGTGCACGGAAGCAAAGAGCTCTTTTGTCCGTTAATCCTGTTAAAATCCAGTGTCCATGATGGCTGTGAGGCTGTATCAATCCGTAACCAGTGGTACTATTTTCCCTCTTAGATCACAGTAATTGTTATTTCCACAAATACACTGGACTCTAAAGCTAAGACTTTTCTTACATCATTAAAAGGACACGAACAGGCTTTAACCATTGGCCCAGGTTAGCTAATGAAATAAAAACTTCTCAATAAAAACTTTTTCTAGTGCCTCCAGTTCAAACATCTCCTAGTTCTGCGGCAGGCAGCAGTGATTGTTCTGGAATAGCTGTCTTTTTTATTCTAGCCTGGGAGCTTATTATTTACTCTTTATTGTTTATTTATTCTTCCGGGGAGCTTTTTGTTTCTCAGCTTATATTATTTGTGCCTCCTCTGTTTAAACTGTTCCAATAATTGTTTTTGTTTAAGAATTCAGTGGCACACTGTGGTCCTGTCTTCATGAAGAGCACATCTAAAACATGGATCACTGAGGAGCCCACGATGAGCCATGGAACTCGATGTCATACCATTTCCTTAGGTTTCTATTCTGTACAGTCCACCCATACTGGATGAAAAGGATCTGCTCCACTGCGTTTTGCATTCTGTTGGGCTCCCTCTTATCCTGTAGAATCCTTTGACTGGAATCAGCTGGGAGCAAGAAAAAAGCTGGGAGGGAAGAGGAAAAGATACCAGTGAGCAGAGCCATGTTCCTGTTAAGGGTGGTCAGGCTGGGACCACAAGAAGGGTCAGGCTTCCAGGCAAGGTTTGGATCATCAAAGGAAAAGCATCTATATCCATGGCCAGGTGTGGTGACCAAGACTGAATTTCATGACCTAAAATGATGCCACGAAATATGGTTGCTTCTTAATGAGTCTTACCCTACAACACAAATGGGGAGAGAAGACACGGGGAAAGACAGAATGAGCTGGGACAAACCACTAATTAGTCTTAAGCATAAACTTACACTGTTTCCATATTCTGTTATTTCGTTGGGCTTTTTCTGGATTATTTTTTCTGCTAACTCCAACACTTTTGGGAATATATTTGATTTTCCTTGTTACTAGGGAGGCGCTACTTCAAAGGACCACCCAGTGTTGAGCAGAAAAAAAGATATATTTGATGGGCTGCCTTTGAAGATGGTTTCTTCCTTATTTTAGAATGAAATTGAGTTAAGAAAGTCCTCAGTAGGTGTCTATCCAAAATAAGTCATTGCGATGATTCACTACATAACATTTCAGCAAGCCCACTAGAGACATTAGTGGGTGATATTGTAAAACTAGGCTCCTGTTTTGAAACTTTAACTGCCTGTGAAGACTTCCAAATGGGAAACTGGAAACTCCAGCCACTGAGCTCCCCTTGGGTTCTGGTCAGTCTTGAACCTAACCAAAATCTTAAAGGTGAGGACAAGGACAGGAACTACAAACAAGAACAAGCGTCTCCCATGTCTTCCCCTAATGCTGGGCCAAACTATATGCAAACGTCTTGCAATTCATAGGGTACGTAACAGTTCACTGGGTGCTATGGCTGTCACCCTTAAGAACCTGAGAACAGAGTGACTCATACACTAAACCCAGGTGCTTTACAAGTTTGAGGGGGCAGAAAGATGCACGTGTCCACATGAGGGCCCAAGCTGATGAACTGGAGGTCACGGGTAGCCAGGCCGGAGGAAATAAACACCAAGGAGTCTCCAATTCGATGGTAGTTCTTGAACTTGAGCATGTTTTAGAATCACCCAGTTTCTCATTCAGTAGATCTAGTGTGAGGCCCAAGATAGGCATTTTTAACACATTTTCAAACAATGATGTCGGTGTAGGACTAGATGCTGAGAACCGCTGGCCTGTTCCTTTACTGCTGCCCTCGTCAGACTGAGGGGCGGGATAAATCATACCCCTAGAACTGAACTGTGGCACTGTCTTTGTGTTGCCCAACGCATGGTCTGTACAAGGAGGCACATGGTCGGTTTCTTCTTATAGTTCTTCATGAACGGTGCTATCCCTGATAATGTGATTGGATGTTTATCATTAAAACAATTTTCTGAAGACAATTATAAAGTATGATGAGAAAGTAGCAATGTTGTTAGGATAAGCATATAGGCTCCTGGAGTTGACCGCTTTGAAAGCTAACCCTAACACGGATATATATTTTCTATTTAAAATAATCATTCTAATTCCTTTGAAATCACAGCATCTATACACACTTCTCATTTTTCACAGGTTTGGCCACTATATACTCAACCACAACTTTGCAATCCTCTTTAGTAAGTTAGTGGCCTCTTTCGTACTTCTTCCTTTTCTTGGTTGGGCTGCCCTGAATTGGAGCTAATCTTTCAGTGTTTGTGGCTGAGCCGGTTTGCTCTGCCTGCCCTGGCTTATTTTTCATAAGATGTCTGGAGGAGAGTTTTTCCAAAACATGCAACTCTTCATTAGACACAGTTTTTGCCAAATCTTGTTTCAAAAGTAACCCCGGATCTGACAGCTCTAAAGTTGGTAAAACCCTGACAGCTTTGCTTTTTTCTACTAATATTTCTCTCGGGACTAATCGATCAATTCCAAGAGGCACTCTCTTGTGGTGGTCGAAGTCTTCCACAGAGCCGCAGTTCCTGCGCTTCTGCTGTGTTCTGGCCCCTCGTGGACTTTGTTTTGGACCTGGTGATGCTGACTCACAGCTCCAGACAGGGCTCCTGCTTAGAAGCCCTGTGTCTAACCACTCCCCAGGATGAGGTTTTTGCTGGCTGCTAGTGTCTTCTGGCTGGGTCTGATGAACATTTTCCAGCTTTTGAACAGTTAGCCCCCAGTGGCTCCCAGCTGCCTTTATGTAATCCTTTGCTTGTCCCATGGACTCTGATGGGGGACTGGATGAAGCCTGCGTACCACCCCTTCTCACTGCATTCTCTGCAATCACTGAGTCACTACATGTTCTCACAATGTTTCTGCTGCTCTGTGATTTGCTCAAGATGCTGCTTTTTGTTTCAGCTCTTTTCACACTAAAACAAACAAAAAAAGATTTTTTTTTGTTTCGTTAAGCTGTCATGGCATAGTTTCCTCCAAATTCCCCTTACCACATTTCCTACACCTGAAAAAAGAAGGTGCACGCTACTCTCCCTTTTCCCTATTTTCCTGGCAAATCTAGAAAAATCCACAATCGTATGTGGATTTTTAAATGCAGACTGGATCAAGCAATAGCCTTCATGTTTCCCAATACATTAGGACACACCAAGATATACTGTTTATTGATCACTGGGTTATCAATGGAGTTTAGAATTCATATTTTATCTTAGGCAGACATATTTATTTCAGATGTTAAGAGTCAGTATTGTCTACATTTGATATATTGATTCCCCCCCCCCAGAAGTACCTGCTCGAATACATCCAAAGCAGAGGCTGTGTTTACGTTTCTATGTGTGTTTGTGTACAAGAACATGCTTGTACATGCATACACACACACACACACACACACACACACATGATTTTCATTTGTAAGTAAAGTATCTTCCAGAATTTCTCTCAGGCCATTTCAAGGTATTACTCAAATATAAACACCATTTAGCTGGTGTCAGGCTTGCTCATTACCATAAGAATTGGGATTCAGTTAATATAACTTGAAATGTTCTGGAAGAAATTCCAGAGAGTATGAAAGAAAAAATTCCAGAGAGTGAGGAAAGAAAGAATCATGGCAAACACAAGAGAGTGTGAATGTACATTTGATATATTGTACGTGCACGCATGTGCACATCTTTTTTACAGCACATACAACAGTCAATGCAAACTTCACTCTGATGGTAAAATTCACATTGAAGGACAGGATAAAATCTACACGGAGAAAATTTAGAGACTAGAGACTTTGACTTCAACATATATTTTCAGGCTTGAGAATGGCAAGACATTTCTTAAACCACCAAACTCAAAACGATGAAGCTGAAATATTTAGTCTGGAAAGAAATATATATATATTCACATTTTCACCGTTGCTATCAGGGGCACAAGGATTATCGTAATTATGTTAGGGTCGAAACAAGTATCTTAGGAAAGAAATGTATTTTTTTTAGATCTGTCTAGTCACTTTGAAAGTTGTATGAAACATACCACTGACAGGTGCTTTTCATCTTCAAAGCGCTTGTAATTAATTACTCTTTGCAACACACCTGTGAAGCAAGGGCTTGATTTCTGTTGTCCAGAAAGCAAGAGAACAGTCAAGAAGGTGGAAGAGCAAGTGTGTGACTTAGGGCAGGCTCAGTGCCAGAGGGGGCTTTGTGATTAAATCCCGTGCGTTCTTGCTGAATTCTAGACTTCACATGATGTAGCCACATATATAGACAGAACTGAGAAAAAGGAAACACATTGGACCTACATTTCTTTGAAAGCATTTCTCTTGAGCTTTGCACTGGGAGGAAGTGGACTCTCCGCACACTCAGCAAAATAATCAGACGCTCCATGGAGAGGTCTTTCTGTCTCCTCCAAAAGATAACAAAGATTCAACAAGAAATCTATTAGCTGAACATGAGAAAAAACAGTTATACTCTAGATGCCCCAGTGAACACATTAATTTTTGTGAGGACTAGATGCAACTGCTTAGTATTAGACTATTTTAATTTTTTTCAATCTAGAACTTCTGATAAACTGTCACTTCTTTTGAACTCTCAGCCCACACACTTCATACATTAACATACGCCACAAACATACGAGGCTGTGATGGAAAGAATGTTGATTCCGAACCATCTGGGAACCCGTGGCCAATGTCTGATATTTCTCAGGCCTCAACTGTGACAAAACCCAGAATTACAGTGCCAGGCAGCAGCATGTTTGCGAGCTTTGATCTTCCAGAGAGACCTTGTCCTGCGGTGGTCTCTATCCTGGCTATCCCAAGAATTGCCCACGTTTTCTCTGGTTACAAAAATACAGAATGTGGTCTTTGCAATACTCAAGACTGCACTGAGAGTGAAGTCTTTTAATACTGGTACCTTGAAAACTGAGCTTGTGACTCTTGGTTGCTAAAAAACTGGGACTTTTTTCCCCCTTAAATAATAGCATTACTATGATTTTATATAATTCAGAGATCATAGGTCTAAGGCTACCTATCCTTAGACTTACATTAGAATTAACAACAGCCCCAGGGAGCCTGGTAGATGGCAGCCATCGGTATGATGCTTCCTTGTCCCACAGGCCGATGTATGAGCTTTGTCTGACCACTGCCCTCCCCCACTAGCCTGTAGCTCTCACTAACCCTGCCTATGGGTTCAGACCTGGACCAATGTCACTCAAAGTCATATCCGGTTATGACCTATGTCAGTTTTAAAAGTCAGCGAACAGAATATTACAGGTTTCATTGGATTATACTGCATTTTGATGCTCCTCCCTGCCACAAGACTTACTAGTTGACCCAAAAGAGCTACACTTTAAAAGTTAAATGAAAGAGATTGAGAGAGATTGAGATTTATGTGTGAAACACTTCTAAACATGCCCTATAAGTACAGTAGATTTCCCCCTCACAACCACACCCTATAAGTGCTGTATTTTCAGAGCTGAACAATTAACATAAGGAGCATGAGTCAGGCTTTGAACAACTCTGTGGGAACCAGAAAGCCTTTTGCTATGAGGAATGATGTAAATTCCCCAAGGCTGGAAGAAGTCCACAATGGAAGGCAGTCAGGGTCATAAATAACAACAATGGATACTGCGGAGACCACAGAAAGTAGGATGCCGTGACAGTGACACTTCGAATCTCATACTGGATTCAATCACTGCCCTTATTTATTTATTTTTAAACTTAGTTTAAAGAGCATTATGTATTTCCTATGGGAACTTCAAAAACTTCTTTAAGAAACAGGACAATTGACTGTCATCCCAAATTCCTGTGACAACAAACAATGGGGGAAAATATCCTTGGAAGAAAAAGGACAACAGAAAAAGTGACATAGTGACAGAAGGAAATGTCCAGTTCAAAAAGTGTAAACCCCATGGCTTTGTCTTGAAAGAGAGAGAGGGGGGTGGGAGAGAAAGAAAGAAAGAAAGAAAGAGAGAGAGAAAGCAAGCAAGAAAGAAAGAAAGAAAGAAAGAAAGAAAGAAAGAAAGAAAGAAAGAAAGAAAGAAAGAAAGAAAGAAAGAAAGAAAGAAAAAGAAAAAGAAAAAAGAAAAAAAGGCCAAGCAGAGTCTCCTGCTTACAAATTAAAACCACATTTGGCAATTTGTTGAAGGAGGCATATTTACATTTGTATAAAGACTGGGTGGGCAGAAAAAAAAAAGAGATTAGACTCCTTCAACCCTTGAACTGTCAGATCTTATTAGAAATCTCTCCTTCTTACATTTCTAGGGTCAATTCATTCCCCTTTGCTGCTAAATCCCAGCCCAAGTGCCCCGCCCCTCGCCCCCGCCTCCAACAAGTATTCCAGAGGAAGCAGCTATCACCTGGGAACAGGATTTCCCAAGGGAGTTGTCCTGATTACTTTTTCACATCAGGCATCAAAATACAATCCATGGCTTATATAGAGGTAAAACTCTTAGATGCAGATAATGTATAGTGTCTGCTGAGATTTCAAGTGCTTCTTGGTTGTACATGGACAACACTACCCCTTTTTAAATACTGCCTTGACATCTTCTGCAAAGAATACAGATAAATCCAACACCATTAGAAAGGCTACCAGTTGGCCATCTGAAATCCAGAGTTAGTCCCCCATGGGAACTCTATTTATTTTTATTTTTGGCAATTCTTTGAGGATTTTAGTTTTACAACTTTCCACCTGTAAAGAGTGTCTAGATAGATAGAGTTCCAGGAGAAAACAGAAGTAGGGCAAGGCCACCAGCCCCAGAAGGAGTCTAATCTAGGGAGCCTGAGCAGCCCGGGCAGGCTCCCAGACAAGTGACCAGCCGGGTCCCCATCCCTGGGGATGCTCTGGGGACCAGGGAGCCATGCTGAAGTCGAGAATGGCCATAGCACATGCCCCAGTAAGGGTCCAAGAGGGAGGTTGAGCAGGTAAGAGCTTGAGTACGATGGATGACATTACCTCAATGCTGTCTGGTCTGACTTGGGAAACACATTTTAAATTCTTGGACAGAAAGAACTGCAAAGAGATCCCTGGCCAGAATGAGCTGGGCAACTAAGACTGGTTTCCTGCCTCTAATCAGAGAATGAGCTGGACTAAAATACTGGTTGAAAGTATACTGGTTCATTAAATGTGCTCTGATGTCTTGCATATACATGACTATTTTCTAAGCCTCTTGCAATGAAAACATCAATTCATGTAAAACAATTATTACTAACTTTAGTATATATTTTATATCATGTATTTTTCAAATCTGCAAATACTAAAACTTTACTTACCACCAAAGGAAAAAAAGAAATACTGGTTGATATTCAAGTTACAAAGGCAAGTTGAAATTGTTGATAAATCAAAGTGTTCACTTCACAGTGCCTTAATGAGTGCTATTTTTGAACAGAACACTCTTGGATTAATGAGGGATGTGGAGAGAAGTTGGCCTAAAAAGACATAAAAAAAGCATCTGCTCTTGAGTTTATAATCTCCTTGAGGAGTCTGTAAAATACAGCTGGGGCTCCCAAAGGCTAGTGGGAAGATGGGCTGTATCAGATATATCGAGGGAGCTTTTCAAAATATAGATTCTCAGGACCCATCCCTGAAGTTCTGATTCACAAGATCTGAGGTGGGGCCAGATCTCGATTTAGGTTCCCCGATGATTCAAGAACTGCGGACATACATGAAACAACAGCTCAACAGAACAGAGAAACATAAACATGGTACACTGAGGCAGCGTTTGCAAAGTGTGTTATGGTCACCCCAGGCATCAAAATCACTTGCGGGGGGCGGGGGGGGGGCTTGTTCAAAAATATTCTGGATTCTCCCCCAGGACCTACTATGATTTGATCTCTGGGCGGTGGGGTCAGGGCATGCACATCTTAGGTAAGCACTCCAGTGATTGTGATACCCAGCAGAGTTAAGGAACTTCTACCCTAAAGTAGCATGGAAATGACAACTGAGCACAGTCCAGCAGAATCGATCAGGCAACACTAAACTCTTTGCCAGGCATTATTCAAGAATCTTGTGGAAAAGGATGTGAACCCACAGAAATCATCCTTGCTCTCATGAAGACTCTATCCCAACGAGGAAGACAAGAAACAAATAAACATATAATGTGTCAAGTGTCAATAACGTTACAAGGAAAAATAAACCTCTAAAAGGTCATGGGGGTTGTTTTACATATATGGTGGTCAGGAAAGGCTGTGGTTAGATAACAAGGTGGTTTTACTCAGAGACCTGAGTGGAGAACAAGCCACGTGAGCATATGAGGAAAAGCATTTCAGGTAGGAAGAAGTGAAAACACTGAGGCTCTGAGTACAGTGTGTGTTGTAAGGGGGGAGGAACAGGAAAGCAATTCAGGAAGAGGTTGTTGAACAGGTAAGAAGTCTGTGTGTGTATTGGTGTGTGGGGGCAAATCATGCACGGCTTTTATAAGGGTGGCACATTTTATTCTAAGGAGAATGATGGGCCTTTGGAAGTTTCCAGGAAGAAAAGTGACTTGACATTAGAAAAGAATCACTTTGGGTATAGCAGAGGGACAAGGTGGAAGCAGGGAGACCAGTGACGAGGTTACTGCAATAGACAACTCAGAGACAATGGGCCTTGGAGAAGATGGTAGGAGGATAAGTGGTTAGATTGGAAATATAATTTGAAGGGGGACTCAAAAGGATGTGCTGATAGACTGACTATAAGAGGTGAGAGGGAGAGAGAAGTCAAGGATAACTCCAAGATTTATGGTTTAAATAACTGGATGAAGGAAGTTATCCTTTACCAATACAGGAAGTACAGGGAGAGGGGCAAGCTTGGGAAAGTGGAACCAAGATACCAATTTTAGGTATGCAAACTTACCTCCTAGATATCCAAATGGAGACACTGAGCAGGCAGTTAAGATATAAGTTATAGGAAGAGAGAGGTCTGGGCTGCAGACACAAAGCTGGGAAGTCCACAGAGATGGCATTTAAAGGTATCCCTCAGGATGAGCTCCTCTAGGGAACGAGTTTGGATGAGAAAAAAGAAGTTGAGAATGAGGAGGATTCAGGAAAGGAGACCATGAAGAAACCATCAGGGAAAGAAGAGAAAAATCAAGATAACATGACAGCCCTAGAGGCAAGAGAAGAAAGTGCTTCACTGAAAGTGACAACTGTGTCAAATGCTGCTGACTGGTTAGAAGTGAAAAGTGATCAACAAAAGGTGTTTCTGGTGAAGTGCTGGGACCCAAGCCTACCAGGGATGGGTTCAAGAACATAGAGACTAGAACTCTCCAGTAGAAATATATCATGAGTCATGCATATAACTTTAAATTTTATACTGACCTGTTAAAAAAGTAAAAGGAAACCGGTGAAATTAAATTTCAATGATATATATTATTTAACCCAATATATTAAATGTTATCATTACAATATGTGATCAATGTAAAAATATGGA